AGGAAGGGGTTTTAAATGAGAATAGGCTTCACCTAAAGCATGGTATAAACACGCCATCAAAAGCTTAACAAGAAAAATGGTGCGTCCTTCATGAAGTTTGATGGATAGAGGCGTAAGAATTGAGGATGACACTCCTGGAAATAATAGAAAATAGGAGAGCCAAAGGTTGAGGAAAGCAATGTGTTCACTATCAGTAACATTCATTTGGTAGATAGCATGGTGCGAAGCTATGTAAAGAGTGAAATCGGTGCAGTTCAATTGAAGTCAATGTTGAGTCGGCATTGACAGGTCGAAAGTCTCGTCGAGAGGTGAAAGCCTGGTGATTGCTGCAACATTGAACAAGGTAGGATTTAACATCCCATATGGAAACTGGAAGGTGTTGATCGAACCTTCCCAAAAAAAGAGCGAGGGGAAAATAAAATTAAGATTTACTCTAGGGGCCATCCTTGACAGTTGGATGACGTTGAAAATACCAATATTTTTCCATTGAGATTATCGTTGTCCTTGGACTCTATAAAGCCAAACTATGTAAGCTTCATGATCAGATGAAAACATTAAATGATATAACTTGGTCGTATTATCCATAAACTTAACGCTAATAGGTTTTGTTTTGTTGAAAGCATAAGGGATAATGGAGTGAAAACAAGGGAAATGTCTGTGAACCTTCTTAGGGTGTCTCTCCTAGTTTGGATATGGACTGTGAAATGCAAAAAGTTTCTCTGCAACAACAAATGGGATCAGAATTTTTCGTTGCCACTTTTTCATCTTTAATTTTGCATCAGAAGATGGTTGAGGGATGAATTCCAAACATTCTTCTTTAGAGAGAGAAAAATTATGGGATTATTGTGAAGGTGTGAGAAAAAAAATAAAGGGGGTTTGAATTGGGTTTCACCAAAATTAATTTTAATTCTTTTTGTTGATGAAAAACAAAGTTAACTTATAACATAAAAATAAATGAATACAATTATTTTTATCTTGGTTCATTGTTAACTAAGCTACTCCAGTCCATCCCTCAAGGTGATTTGCCTTCAAAAATGACTTAATTCACTATAACAAAACTGATTATAGAAAACCTATAATAAGTCAGGTCAACCTTATTGGCATCCCAATAAGTTAGTTTGTCCTTATTGAAAATCAACTCAAGATGCAACAAGAGTCTTCTTGAGATTAAACCTTCACTTGGTCACTCAAGGAATCAATCAATAATATTGGAATACTTTTCATGTATTATTGTTTTCTTCTTTTAAGCCGATTACACAAACGTTTAAGTACAAAGAAAAACACCTAAGTGTTTTACAACAATATACGAGAAACAACTCCTTGCTTATTTACAAAACTATACACAAAATATTTTTCTCAAGAGTTGCACAATGATTTGGTGTAGTTTTATTTGAGCTTGATTTAATTCGATAAATTTTTTGGTGTAATGTTGATTCTTACTTTTCTTCAGCTTCTAAGTCTTCCTTTTATAGCTTGTAAAAGAAATATGTTGAACATGTAGAAAGAAAATTGGGAATACAGTTGTTTGTTCCCAACGGTCATAATGAAAGTGGTTAACAATACAATACTAAAGGATTGTCTTTACGCCACCCTAGAGGGTAGAGGTCACATAGCACTTTTTGTACCTTTTGTACACCATCACACATTAACCATTTTTAATTTCTTCTAATCTTCATAGGCTTCAGATAATTTTAATGTTTGAAGCTTGTTGTAGAAGAATCACTCTTAAGTCTTAGAAACTAAGTCTTGGAGTCTTCAGAACATATCCCATCAGAACCTTGTCTTTAGAGTCTTCAACACTTGGTCGTAAGAACTTGTTTTTCTTCAGATCATTAGAACTTGTTCAACAGAACCTTGTCTTCATAATCTTCAGAACTTGGAACGCACAGAAGAAAAGCTTTAGAAGGCCTCCAAATCTTAACCATAAAGTCATGATCAGAACCTCTTGTACTAATGTTCCTAAGAACCGTTGAATAAGATGAATTCCATATTCTTGACTTCAACTATAACACATAACCATATGTTTTATACCAATAGTTTTATGTTTAGAATTTAATGACGTCATATGCCTTGATACCAGAATTAGAACATTACAGCGGCAACTACATGTTGTACCCCAATTTCCCCCCTAAGATTCCTCTATCATATCATATCAACTCAATCACAACAAGATTACACACTAGGGTTTAGCCCTTCTCCTTATCTTTAGCTTTGCCCATGGGGAATCACCAAGAACCTTGATTTGTATCTTGTTATCATCTATGTTTTTATTAACTTTTAACTAATAAATACAACGTATGTTTTCCCTAATTGTTGATATTATAGGTGAAAGCACAACACATTCTAGCAAGTTGATCCATAGGTTCATGAGTTTATTTCCATGCCTTCTTCAACAAAACTTCATTGAGATTCAAGCTTCATTATTGAAGATATTTTGAATTAATATCATGACAAAGTATATTATGATTCATCATGCCTCAAGTTGTCAAAAATAGTTCAAAGGTACAAGGGTTGATTGAAGAAGTTTGACCTAATTGGACAAGTTCTTGATTCATTGATCATAAGTGCATATTTTCCTTAATTCTCAATATTTAGAAGTGGTCATGGTTTCTATGGTTCCTCATTATCATAATCAATAACTTATATTTATATTCCAAAAGTATTTGTGCAAGAAAGTGTATCAAAATTGTAAAAGGATTTCTAAGGTGTCTTGTTGCTCTAGGAGCTAGGGTTTTGAACTTCAAAGGGGTATATCTTGCTCATCTTTTGGTATTTTTGAGTGATTCCAAAGACATCCTTCTCTTCAAAGGGTTATCAACAAATAACTTCAAAAGTTTCAAAGAAATTTTGTGTGGAAGGTACCTAATGATGAAGAAATATTACAAGTCTTTTAGTTGAATCATCAAATTCCCTTATGTGACTTCAAAAGATCATAACATGGTCAATTTTTATCTCCTAGATGTAGCGAAAAAAATTTTAGTGGTGTAAATCAGAGATCGGGATATTAATTAACTGGACTCGCAAAATCAAGAGTCGCCACCGCTCTTTATTATTTCCAAGGGAAAAGGGAAAAGAGCGAAATAAAACCCTTAAACGTGCAATGTAAAGTAATACTTAAAAGTAATGAAAACAAAATGCGTTTTTGAAAGATATCGAAGGTTCGGGGGTTGGTTATACAAAGGGAAGGTACTATCACCCAATGCATCTTCGGTACTCCGCAGGAACCTTTTAAAATATCTGTTTTTTTGGTTAAAATTGTTTGTTTGTTTAAAATGGGTGTGGACGAGATTTTGAAGATACGACGATCTAGTGTCAAAATTTTGACTTAAAAGGTGTGAGTTTTAAAATTGAGTCTTTTAGAAAAATTAACTTAAGTTTAACAAAAAACCAAAATGTATGAAGGGGTTTCGGACAATCGTATAAGATATATTTGATGACATGAAGTCAACAATGTTAAAATATTTCCCTTGGATTTTAGATGAACGAAAGATATAAAGATTAAATGATCAAGAATAAAGTTAATTAGAATGACAATTGAACACTTAAATAAATCAAAAATTAAATAGAATATTAATTTATACTAGCATGTATTTTTGAACAATTAAATAAATAACAAAAATAAAAGATTAATTTAATACAAGCATGTATTTTTGAACAATTAAATAAATAACAAAAATTAAATAAAAGATTAATTTAATAGCATGTATTTTTGTATTTTTATAATGGCGAGAAATAATTGTATCTATAAAGTAAACTAAACTAATATTTGTTATCATATATTTTTAAAAAATTGGGAAATGAGGCTAAAAGAAATAAAAATGAAATAAAAATGCCCAAGTGAGGGGTTAAACTCAAGTCTCTTGGGTTGCAACGGATATGCCTTGCCACTGAACTAAGTTTTTTATCTATTATGTCTATTCTCTAATTAAAATAAAAGATGATGATGATAATTTGATTGGGCCGACCCGGTTAGGAAGAGACAAGGAAGGGTTATGTAAACCCTAAACACAAAGAAAAGCTATGTGACTGTGGTTAACATTGTGAAGTGGAATTTACAGATTAATTATCATTCCCAATTAAACCATATTTTCTATGCTTTACCGTAAAACAAAATTTTCTCTCTCTCTGAATCACCTTAATTCATCATCAACACATCATTCCTTAACCCTCTTTGTAATCCTTCATCTCTGACTCAACTCTCTTCATCATCTACGTTTCAATCTTCAACACCGTATCTCCATCTTCACCGTGTCACTCAACAAATTCGCAACCTATAACATCGTGACTTAAACATAACATAATCTTTGTTCTTCAATCTTCAATAATCAACAACAAATCTGAGTTAAGAGGTGGTCGGAAATCTCTGTCACTGTACCAGAAATTAAGTCTCCACACAGGTTCCTCATAACTGCTTTTGATTCTTATATGTGTGGCTAGGTTTGATTAGGATCTTGCTTGCTTCATTATATGGAATTATGCTCAATTGATGTCTCCGAATGCTAGAGTTTTTGTTAGGCTTATATTTAGAGAGTTGATTGAAGGTTGAATTTGTGAAGAGAGCCAAAGAAAAATCGGAGGTGAGTAAAGGTGTTGGTACGCAAAGGAGACGAGAGGCGGTGACACAAAATCGAAGAAGTGAACGAAGAAGAAGGCTTAGTGGCGCAAGTTAAAAGTGACCTAGTTTATGTGTTTGTGAATAAAGGCGCTGGATGTTCACGAACAAAGGAGGTTGCGTGAAAGGCTTTTGTTAAAGTTTATGAAATGATGTGAGTGTGGTTAGTAGATGATGATTTGCAGAGAGGCATCTGTGAAGGTGATTGCAATGAGTTGATTTGTATGAAGTGCTTTGAGATGTAGTGATGGTGAGGGATTTTTGGAGTATGTGAGGGTTACTTAGGCAGGGGTTTTGGATATATTTCTTGGGTGAATCTCTTTGTGAAAATTGTTGGTGTTGTTAGAAAGGTTTAAGGTCTTTTATGAAGGGTGAGTTTGTGTATGATATGAAGGTTAGTATGAAGGTGAGGGTTGTAGTATGTTGTGTATGAAGGTGAATGGTGTGAGGTTAAATCAATAGAGTTTATAGAGAGTTGAGCAGACTTTGAGTGGTTTGTTTAAGGGTTTGGAGAGGGTAGAGAGCAATTTACAGTGATTTTGGTAGAATATTTTGTGTTTTTGAGCAGAGTTATTGGATGGTTCTCTATGTATTCTCTGTTTCTTGTCTGAAGTTTGAACAAAAGATTTTTTATTTTTGTAATCGAACAAAAATAACAACAACATAACTTTACTTATTTTTCCTCTTCTCATATTGCTCTCCTCACTCTCTCGCGGTATCTCATGAACAACAGCAACACACAAAATCTCGTTTTAGATCTGCGGTTTTTTTGTACTTATGATTTCATTCGATTCAAATGACAAATAACACAGCAAGGCAGCAAACTCATAAAATCAATCTCAAAAACACAAACCGAGAGGTGCAAACATAGTGTAAGAATTGGTACATGTCAGAGTCTCTCCGACAGAGCTTCAAAATAGGTAAGCAATCAGAAAAAACTTCTTTACACCATTTACTCTTCATCTCTTTCTTTGATGCATTGTGTTTGGAGTTAATGAAAAGTGAAGATACCGGTGTGCTCTCGATTCCCCATCATCATCTCTTAGCTTCGACGACTTGCATCTCATCTCACTCGCGATTTAGCTTTTGAAATTGTCTCCGCTCGCCTCAAATATTTGCTCTGTTATTAAGGTATGCAGACTCTTTTCTCAATCTTCTTCAAATTTCTTCTTTTTTTGAGTTTAGAAATATGGCTGTTTATTAACAGGTTATGCATCTTGGAGAAAATTTGGTATTCTGTTTTGTTGATTTTAACATGTTATGATTTACTATTTGTTAACAGGTTCTAGTTGTCCTGGTTATAACATGGTTTTAAAAGGTTGCAGGTTTAATGGTTATAATTTATGGCTGCAGGTTTAGTGATTATGCATCAAATGTTCTGTTTTTTTAACAAGTTTTAGTGTTTTGGGGTTGTAACAGTTTTTAGCACCAACCAATGATCCAAGCATGAAGATAAGTTATTATGCAAATGAATCTAGCATACATGGATGTACATGTGAAAGAGTTATGCAGAAGTAATAGAGAGGAAGAAAAATACCTATCAGAGTCTCTCCGATTGAGCTTAAAAAAAACAGTAAGATCTCCCTCCCTCTCTTGTTGATGCTTATGCTTCTTTAGCTCTGATTCTTTGTTGTGATTCTTGGTGTGTTTTTGAACAAATTGATGTCCCTTTTTCTGCTGATGAATGTCTTCTTTTATAGAGAAAGAGCATGGAATTTAGGGGGGGAAATAGTAGAATATTTGAATTGTTTTGGCAAACTGTTTTGATGCCTTCTTGATGTAGTTTTTCTTTAGCCATTTGTGTGTAATTTTGATGTGTTTTTGGATTGTTTTGGCAGGTTTGGGACAGGTTTTGGACTGTTTGAAGTGTTTGTAGTAGCAAGACAGTAGCAGGTTTTTTTTTGTGTTTTTGTGGGCAGAATGTGGACTGGTTTTGGACAACAACAATACATGGCTTCGTTTATGTTATTTTGGCATGTTTTTACGGGCTCTTGACATGTTTTTTATGGGCCTTTAAACTCTTTTGCATTGCTGAAATTTTTTGCTAATCACACACTTGTTTTCTTTTTCACTAGTTGATGAAGAAAGTACGAAGATTTGAAGATGAAGCTTTGATAATGAAGGCATGGAGAATTTGAGAGAACCTGAATATGAAGTCTTTAGGCATAAAAACTTGAAGAATTTATTTTGTGATTGTAACTTGAAACTTTATTGAATGTAACTTGGGCATTAACTTGTATAATTTGCAAATGAATGAAACAATGGTTACTTGGAACTTTAAAATTTTATTTTTGTTGTGTCTTGCAAATTAAATGAGAACCTTTGAATGATGTTAAACTTTTGTCAATTTGAAATTAATAGACTTGAATTTGGACTTTTGAACTTTGAATCATGAAGTGGATTATATAATTTGATTTCACTTTGAATATTATGAACATGATCTCTTGATTTTGAATCTTGAGAGTGATCTTTGGATAAAAGACTTGAAAAATTAATGAACATCTTAATTTCCAAGAAACATGTAGAATTGATGTGCTTGATGTTTTAATTTGAACATTGACTTGGAACTTCCAAACTCATGAAAGCAATAATTTCCTTCCATATTTTGAATTATGAATGAACTTGAATCCATGGATTTGACATGATATGTTGAAAAATAACCATGGTTCCTGACTTGAATAATCACAAGGATAAGATTTGAAGAAATTATAGCATCATGAAACATAATTCAAAGTGGTCAAGAAACTTCTAATCCAGAAAATGTCCTATAATGTTTTGATAAATTCCATATCATTCTAAAAACAAATTTGCTCTTGACCTTCTGAATTTGAACTAGTAAACGTTGACCTTTTGGTTAATGTGATTTGAATCAATCTAGAAACTTAATCCTCGCTCACATTCCCAGGCACATTGGTTGATATGCGAACCAATGAAGATGAAATCTTGACTGTGCTTCGGGGAAGTTTTGGAGAAGCTTGAGACCACTTGTCGAACAGAGCATGGAAATAAACATGCAGTTCTCTAAAAGTTCCTCGAAACAAGCTATCACACTTGAAACATCTGTGATCAAAATAAGCCTGAACGATGTTCAAGACTCCATGCTCTGAGATTAGAAGTCGTGCCTTGATGAATCAGTCTTCGAGAATCAATGATCAATTGTACTTCTTGCTCGAGAGACTCAAAACCATAATTGAGGCGTGACGCCTGATGCTCTTGATTCAGACCTGTTTCTGCACAAAGAAACAAAAAAAAAAAACACTTCGTGCTTAATTAGAAGTTAGTCATGCATAATATAAAACGTTCACAACACTCGATAGTCTCGGCACAGGCAATGCCCGAAGGTGAGAAGTTCGAAAACAACCATATTTCATGACCTTGATGTATATAAAAAAATGAAAATGAAGATGGGATCTTAGGTTAAAAACTGGGGTATGACACTTGAGCCCATTCTTTTTCCACAATGATCTTAAAGATATGGACTTCAAGCCTTCTTTTAAGTGTAGAGTGTGAAAATGGATGGAAGATGCCCTAAGGATGCAAAAGATTATAGGTCATTTCATGAATTTTTGCCAACTTCAACAAGTCATAACTCTCTCAATTTTTTGAGTTTTTAAACGGTTCAAGTCTAAAAATTCCATTCAATAGATCTACTTCATGCCATCTTTTTTTTGCCAAAAGAAAATTTCAAGTGGAAGGCCAGGTTTGGATGCAAGATATTATAAGTTATTTTTGATGAAAAAACTTAGAAATTTTCTAAGTACAGAAAGTCAACCTCTTTTTCTCAACTTTGACTCATTTCAATTTTCAGCTCAAGCATCCATTTGATGCCATTATTTGCACATTGTAAAGCTTATGATCTCATCTTTCTAAAGCTTCAAGTATCATGTCCTAAGAATCCTTGAGTTGAGAATGCCATTGATTTGAATTTGGTAACTTGAAACAGAAGTTTCTTCATAAGTCAGAATTTAAAATTCATGTTTTGGCTTCTAAACATCAAATTAGCACGTGTTTTTTGTCTAAACATGTTTAACCAACTTGCCAAAGTGGATTAGAGCCTTAAAACGCAAATATTGGATGAGTTTTTATGCAAAATAGATCACACTTTACTCGTGTATCAGGTTCACACGATTTTCCTCCAAACTTCATCATTTCTCACGCTTGAACATTCAATCAGCAACCCTATAATTATAGGGTCATACCTCATTCATTTTCTCAAGCTTAGAGAGCCAGAATCACCCTACCAAACTCCCTCTTGAACCAAATTTTCGGCAACTTTGAATTTGCTCTTACAGCCTTTCTCAATCATTTTTCTTTGCCAATTCATCTTCCTTAAACCTCACTGAAGCTAACATAAGAAGAATTAAGCTATAAAACTCCTTGAATCTTACTAGCCAAGTCAAGTTTCAGAGCTCTACAACTTAACTTCAATAGGTAGATTCTTTCACCAATTCTCTCAAACTTTGATAATATTATGAAGCTCCCATCATACTGATTCTAGTCGCAAAATTTTTTTTCAACTGGAAGTACGTTTTTACCATGAAATTTTAAATCCCTTTTCAAAACTTCTCTTCCAAAACGACTGAGCTACAACTTATATAAATTTTTCGCGAAGGTACCATTGGAATCATCTTGAAGAGATGAAGCGAATGGTACTGGTATCGTCTTCTAATTTTGCATTTTGAGACATGCAGATTCCGTTGGCTGGAGGTTGAAGATGACCAACGTGTCATCTATCAACCAATGAAAGTGTGCCACTCTTATTTTTCAAAAATCTGATTTAATTAATGATCATGTGTTTATTCCACTAAACACCATGATATGGACAATGCGTCTGATCCATTGGATTAGCTTACTAACGCGTTCTGAGTCTCATCCATTGGTCCAAATTTTTTTGAATTTATTTTTTATTTCTGAGTTTTATATTTAAATTGTTTTAAACTTCAAAAAATCATAGAAAATTCATTTATGATTCAAAAATTATGAAAAAATTCACAAAAATTATGAAATAATTAATGATCATGTGCTAATATTTTTTTTCATGATTTTATTTTTAGATTTGATATTTTTTATAATTTTTCTTTGTTTTGGTTTGTTTTTAATTACTTAAAAAATATTTTTGAAAATTTTTAAATTCTGAAAAAATTCATCAACATCATTTCCTTTATTTCTGAACTTCTGAATTATTTTTAAAATTTTATTTTGACTTATACTATTTTTGATATTTTTTCCATTTATTTGAGCAATTTTAATTAGTTTAAAAATAGATTCTGACTTTAAAAAACTACCAAAATTTTTATATAAACATTTAAGTATACTTTTGATTTTTCTATGGTCTTATTTGATTTTTCTTGGTTGATTTGAATATAATTGCCATTTCCCCTCTTATTTTCATTTTAAAATCATTTTTAAAAACCTTTTTCTTTATTTTAAATACAATGTTATTTTTTGTATATACATTTTCTGGTTGATCTTGGACTATGAAATTTTGATCATGAGCTTTATTAATATCATTGGATCGATGGTGTTGAGTCTAACTCCATAAAAATGGATGAATAATTTTAATAATAGTTTGATTAATTTTTTTTGTTCAAATGTGGTTTATTTCTTCTCCCATCCCTCTTCATCTTATCCCCTTCTTATTATGTCATATGTTGTTAGAGGATGATGTACATATCATCTCTCCAAGCGTATGACAAATAAATTGCTATTGAACAGCCTCAAAATAGGTGTGACTTCTATATAAGTTCACTTACGATTGCTTAACATAGCGCTAAATTTTATCCCGATTCGAGAAATGATCATTCGTGGTCCAAACCCATGTTTGTAAGCCCAAGTATGTTGATTTTAATCCTTTGATCTAATAACTTTGAGATTCAATGTTAGGAGGTTTTGGTCTTATCAATCCTCTAATGAATCTTCATAAACTTTGGTCAAAGTGAATCACTTAAACATCATTGATCATTTATTGTTGCCTTGAGAATTTTGAATTGATGATATACTTGACAAAAAGTAAATGAAACTTGTTGTTGAGAGACTTTGATTTTATCAATCTTCTAATGAGTTTCAAATTCAAGTCTTAAGATGCTCATTCAACTAACCTCTAATTTCTAACAATTGACTTTATTTTGTGCTTTTATGCTTTTACTTTGAGCATATTTATTTTAGCATTTACATTTCATGCTATTTTCATCTTTGCTCATTTGAGCATTTTTCTTTTATGTCATTTTTATTTTACTCATTTGAGCTTTTCATTTCTTTTTTGAAGATACTTAATAATCAACTTGAACCCTAAAAAAACTTTAATGTTACTTGGACTAATTGGTTACTATCCTTGGCATTATGGAGATTATGGAATTCTTGGACTTAGGAGTAGAGACCTTAACCTACCTTGTGACCTCAGTTGTTATTTTTTCTGGAGTTCTTAGGGTTTACCCTAAGACATTAGGTTGTTTGTTTGTTTTACGTGCAGGTTATTATGATTACATGCTTTGTATGTGATCTGGAATTCATCTGTATACAGTTGTTACTCTGCCTAACTTTTGTGAAAACTTAATGAAATTGAAGCTTGGTTTCTTAAAAGGTTTAGTATCTTTGCTTGCTTGGTTTCAATCCAAAGGATAGTAATTCTACATTGACTCATTATGTCAAGTGTTAGCTTCATTTTGGTTAGAGGGTTCTTTGCCCATAGCTTTTAATTTATGCCTTAGGATAGTCCCTTCATCTCCTCCCATCTTCTTTAATTTCAAAATATTCTCCCTCTTTTTGAAAACTCTTCTTGTTTTTAAAGTTGAACCTATTTCATAATAAACTTGGACTTATGTCCATTTATTTCCAAAATATTTTCTTAATTAAACTTTAATCAACTTAATAATACTTTGACAATTTTGTGAGAAGACTAAAAGTCAATCAATCTCATTCAAACCATTTTGCCACTTTGGATTTTTACTTTAAAATTTTCTCAAAAGATTATACTTTTGTCAATCCTTGTAGTAATGCGAACTACTGTACTTCTATGATATGTAGTGAAGTGAGATATTTTCCACTTGGGTGTTGAGCGAAGCTTTGTTGAATTTTAAAATCCAAGCCATATCCGCCACTTTGAGATGATGCAAATTCTCCTGTCTCATAATTGTGGGTA